TTATGTTTAGGTAGACACATTACATGGAGAAAAAATTTTCTAATTATATAATAGATTCGGGAGGCTTATGTGAGCTAATAGATTATGCTTAGGTTTCAAGAACATTTTCTTTACCACTAAAATGGACCCCTTTGAGAATATAAATAGTAAATGATGCTCTATGTCGCTATTCCAAATCCGACCATGCGTAAATAACGGATAACCTCGGACCACTAGATGTGTAAATGAGAACTATTTGACTATAACATAAATATTCCATGAGAACAACTTTTGTCTTCCTAGCTTAATGATAAAATAGTGCGAATTTATTTAAACAACACTAAAATATAAAATTTAGGTTGACGTATAATAGACATTGCGAAATGAGTTAAAACAACAAAAAATTGTAATTCACTAACTAACCAAATCCCTAAGATCTAATAGCTATAATCTCTTCACATGTATTTTTGATTAGTTTACTAATTAATAATTCAATTTGGTTATTCACCAAATTCTCCCAAAACAAAAAAAAAGTTTAATGTTATATGCACGTAATGTGTATGCTTTAGATTAACGTTGCCATCTAGTTTGGGTCGATTAAATATATATATATATGTCTCTATAATCCGAGGATAAGTTTTCTCCTAAAAAGAAGTTAAACCTCAAACTAAAATCAAATTTATAGTTGCCAAGAAAACAAATATCAGAAACTCCCATTACCAATAATTCAGAAACCATAAAGAAACATTTCTATACATAGCGAGAGGAACTTAATTAGAAAATTGTACATGATAATTTCTTTTCCAGTTTTAAAAAAGAACAAATTATAAACTTTTTACTAATGACGGGTTGTAACAAAACCCAGCTCTATCTCACGACCATTGCCGTGATCCTTTTGACGGCGAGCCAAGCCGCGGAAGCGCATTTCAAGAACCTCTGCGCCCAAACCGCTTATCCAAGGTTGTGTTGGCCGATTGTTAAAGGGCCAAACCCGAGACGAGCCACACACAGCACGATTCGAGCCCTCGAAACTAAGACGAAATTGGCGATTGCACAGGCTGCGAGGTATAAAAACGGAAACCAACAAGTTGCGATTTGCTATGCGACTCTTAAGGACGCAGCCTTCAATCTTGGGAAAGCAAGGAGGAGCATTAGGAAAAGAAATGTTTTGTCGCTTAAAATGTTTTTGGCCGCGGCTGTGTCAGACTATGGTGTCTGTGTCAACGGGTTCATCGATTCACGTCAAGTTCATACCATTCAAAACGCTGCCGATAAGCTGAGGAAGATGGGTAGCAATTGTTTGTTGCTTGCTACATTGATTAGATGAACAAACCACAGAAACAAAACATGAAAAGTAACTCCTCAAAAACTGACAGAAATAGGAAACTTATTGTTAATTATGTTGATGTAAATATTTCTTTTAGTTTTCAGGTGTTCTTGATCAGGATCAGTCGTGATGTAATAATAATAGAATTTGTAGCCCACGAATTAGTTTCTTGATTCTCAATCATCGACAGATTTCAAAAAAGATTCTGAAAATTCGATGACATCAGTTAAAACGGAATTAACAGAGAAACGTATATAAATCTCCAAAAAGGGGATTACATTGTGAGAGTGTTTTCGCTATCTCAACTGTAACTCCAAGCTAAGCTCGAAACAATTCACAAAAAGAAACATGAACAAACAGTCTTAGGTGAAGTAAACCAGACTCGTACGATTCATTTGCCGATTCTAGAGCCTAATTTTATTACCGATAAGAAACAGAGCAAGTACCCCTACACGACTAATAAATAATGTCTTGCCTGAAGGAAAAGAGAAAGGAGAAAGAGATGATACAGACCTCACTCTTCCTGAGATACTTCATCGAGCAGCTTCTTTGTCGCTTCATTAACCTCCACGTTTTCCATCTTCAGGCGCCTGCGCATAGCCGGATGACTCTTTCCTGCTGCTGCATATGTTCTTATCAATGGTTCAAAGATTTCTGCTCCGATGTTATCCGTTCCCTTCTTTAATATCTCCACCAAATTCTCAGCTCCATTAACATCTTTCTTTTGCTCGAATTGGCTCATCAAAGTTCTGATTGTTTCCTGTGACGGTAGCCACTTGCCACCATCTCCTTTACCGATAGTAACTGCCTTAGATATACATTCGAGAGCTTGAGCTGAATTACCACTCTTTACATAGTAATCCATGAAGATCTCCCATGTTTTAGCATTGGGCTTGCCTCCTCTTCTTGGAGCTTTCTCCCTGAGCTCTTTTGCTTTTTCGATAAGTTCTTCTTTTGCATAAGCTCCAATCAACACATTTACAATCCGGATGTCATAAGTAGAACAGTTAGCTTGCCATTCCTTGAACAGTGTCTCTGCACCTGGTAAATCGTTCAACTTCACCAGCACCTGTATCATGTTCAGATAGGCTACATTTGAGGTTTTCAGAATAGCCAGCCTCAATGAACGCCAAATCCTATAAACTTCAGTCAGTTTTCCCAGTCGTCCATACAAAGTAATAAGAAACTGGTATGCCTTAAAATCCCGTTGCGTGTTTTTCATCTCCAGTTCGTGAAGTGCCTTCTCAGCTTTCTCAGACAGCTGCGCATCAACGTAAATAGATGCCATATTGCTGTATGTAGTCCAATCTGGAGCAACTCTACCATCTCTATTCATCTCTTCAATGACTCTCTCGACACCAGAAACATCGTTATTAGCAGCCAAAGCCCTCATCCAGACATTATATGTGTATGAATCCGGCATGACATTCTCGGCCTTCATTTCTTGAATCATTGCCGGAACCTTCTCATGCTGGCCTGTCTTTGTGTAAAGTGTCATGAGACTGTTATAGGACATCGAGCTAACTGTAATATTGAGCTCTTTCATCTTGTTCAGTAGACCTTCTGCTTTCTCTGTCACCAACTCCTTACAATAGCAGTTCAAAAGAGACCCGTACGTGAGCTCGGTTTTCGATGTTTCCGGAAGACCAACAAAATAAGTCTCCCCAGCAGCAATTCCCCGAGCTTTGGCAACAAGATCAAGATGGATTGCTTGATCACTCACCGTCTTGTTCATACCTCTCTCTTCCATAACTTCAGAGAGCTGCAATCCCAAAATAAATCTACAACATGAATTCTCAAATAATAGTTTAACTAAAGAAACAAAGTGAACATCACTAAATTTCAAGAGAATCATTATCTGCTCCTATACCAAATTCAAGAGAAGACATCAAACAATTACTAAAATTGTTCGTAATGGTCATCAATCTACCACTTTAAGAATCTACATTTCACAATCCCAGAGAATCGAAGATGCGATTTGCAGGAATAAGATGAATCTGATTTAAGAAACCTTGAGTGCTGGGTAATAGAGACCGCGACTTCGGAGTTTCTTGATCGTATCACCGACCTCCCATTTGAAGACGTGCTTAGTGCCTTTGAGGAACTGATTCAGCTGTTGTCGAACACTGACCTCCGTGCCGCCATCTTTGAAGAGACGATGGTAAAGAGGTTCTTCGATGTACTTCTTCGTCGATCTCTTCACGACGTCTCTCGGTCGGCTCAGATGTCGCATCGCCATTTTTTTCCGTCGATAGAGAGTTTTTCAGTAGTG